GAATTAAGCTTCCACCACAAGCTACTTTTTAGGTGCAAGAGCCTTGGCAGTTCAAGTTACAGCATACTGATGAGATTTGTGTTGTGGGCAAAAAGCATTTTGATGCACTGGAGGGCATGCTTCCCTCTGGAAGAGCTAAACGCGTAAAAATGGCTGGGTTTGAATTCTGAATGAGCACAAAATACATGTCTTTGTGTTAAAATCCAGTGTTAGTTCTTGCTTTAAGACTGATCTCTGCAGGTCCAGTCACTCCTGAAACAAAACTTTCCTGTTCTTTCAAACACCCAAATCTATTGTTACCAGCTGTTTTGTTTTTTTGATACTTGTAATGCACAGCTAAAGAAACCATGTGCGTTAACAATAGGATTCTCTAGAACTCATTGATTAATATGTACCAGTACATATGTGTGTACTTAAGAGCACGCCTAAAAATGTAATTGATATCCCACCTGTCCTCTTGAATTTCAGCTGTACCGCGACTGCAACAGAAGTACTCAGGTTTTGACAGTAGATTTTGAATTCATTGTCAACATTGTCTCAAAATGAATTTCCAGGAAGTCTAACATACTACTTTTTAAAAACAGACTGCACTGTACAGCACATTTACAATTATTAGCCAGTGTCCCATGACAATGTTTACTTGATCTATGTACTTTTTTACTTTAAAAATTAAGCATCGCTGTTTTTGAAGTTTGAGTCTTATGATCAGAAATATATTAAAACCAGTATCTTATCCATGAATCATTAGATGAGTCAGTTCCTGAAACCACTACAAGCCTCACAGTTCTTGGCTACAACTGAAAGCAGGAAATCCAGGCTTCAATAACTTCCTTTCCCAGTACTGGCTATAGCAGTGTTAGTGGTTAGTATATGCTGCTTTTGTAAGCAATAGGAAGATGTATGTCTGAGGAACAAAGGCACTCAAGTCAATTTGCTGAAACTGTTTATAATTTGTGGTCTCGATCTGAATGTCAGGCTATATTGCCATATACTACATTCTGTGCTGCAGTACATTTTCCAGCAGCGATATTCAGAATATGAAATAGAGGGAACGCATTAGGGCACAAGTCTTGGACAAAACCCACCTAATCAGTTTACCAGAAAACATGGAGATATTTTAGTGGTAACATCCAACTCCTGAAGAGGAATAGGAATAAGAACTGAAAACAAAGGAGTAAAATTAAAGTGTTTGTTTAGCAGTTACTTTGTTTTATGCTTGTGCAACAAACTATTTTTATTCTGCTTAAGTGCTCCAAAAGGGCTTGAAAAAACCCAACCCAAACTTGGAGCTTGTAAAATAAAAACACATGATTTGTTTTTCAGTCTCCTTTTTTTGTAGTGAAAACTGTTTGCCTCCTCATAATCAAGGACACATTGATTGTCTCTGTGTCACTGGAGCATTGTTGGCTGCAGAATCTGTCTCTTTAAATGTGGAGTGCCTGTACACCATGACATCTGTGTAAGGGGATGCAGTATTTACACTTTTGAGCTAACTGGGCCAGATTCAGGTTTGGTACAACGTTGATCTTAATGTGTTTAAGCCTGGAAAGTATTCAACACTTTTTCCTTAAATATTATGAAAGATAGTTTGGTATCTTGTACTTATTGCTTGGTTAATTTAAGTCTCTTATTAATTAGCAGCACATAAAAGCCAAACCTACCTTCTTTAATTATTCTTTTTGTTCTTCCCTCCAAAAAATCGTTTGTTCATAACAAACTGGGGAGAACACAAGTATTGAGAGTAATAAATCAGATACTGTGTTAAAAAGCTACCTTTGACAGCATTGGGTAAACTGTATATGCAGTATTGATTAAAAACAAATAGAGAGCTCTTAATTTAAACAGGCAGAATGGTGATTGCACATTAGGCAACATCTTTTGTATTGGATAATGTGTGAATTGCTTTAATAAAGCAAGCTACAAGTCGGATTATTTCTTAGTTGGTGCAGTTCAGTGTTGGTAAATCGACCTTGGTGTAATGGTCATTTAGAGTTTTGGAGCCAAATGACTGACACATGTCATCCCATACTGATGTTCACTGTGGTGCCGCTTGAGTCATGTGTTTGTCCGGCAGTACAGAGGAGGATTGGGTGGGGGAACAGGCAGCTAAGTGGTGAGATCTTTGCATGTGGAGACCCATATCCATAATAGACTTTTCCCACCTCCTCTCTCTGTCTATGTAACTCTGTGCCCATGGGAAAGACCTAGAGAGGGTCAATCCCTTGCTCAGACAAGGACATTGGAGCTTTTGAAGGACTGTTTGACTTATGGGGGAGGTTGTCCTTGAGGGAGAGGAAGAGGCACTTCTCTCCTAATTGACATGTTTGCATCAGCACAATTTTCATGGACACTCTTATGATGCTCATGCCAACTGCTTTTTTTCCCCCACAGTGGGGCTGGTAGCATCGATTCCGGGACAGGCCACTTGGTGTGTTTTGTCATAATGGAGATGTGCCTGAGGTGCCCAATCTCTTGCTGGGACTTTTGGCGTGGCAGCAAACACCCAAGCAAGCTGCTTTGTGGACTGGGGAGGGATTGAGATTTGTCTTAGAATATTCAGTGGGATGCTTATTGAACCATGAAGGTGCAGATAGCATTCAGAAAAATGTAAACAGAGCAACTGCAATTCTCACAGCACCAACACCTCTGGTACAGGAAGTTTGTATTGCTGTCAGGTTTTGATACTAAATTTCTTGAAGTACCTGCTGCTCTGCTTCTGGAGGCAAGTCTGTATCACGCAGGGGAGCTCAGAACAGTCAGGCAGAGATCTGTGCCATCAAGCTTGTGCAGTGCAGAGCATCATGTGAGCAGAGTGGCTTGGACTTAGCAGACTGTAGCTATATAAACAGCTAGACTGTTTTGGAGGCAAGCTGGCTTGTGTCAGCCTACCTTCTCTGTCACATTTAAAGAAAAAGCAGCAGCCTTTGAAAGAAGGGCTAGATGCTTACATCCAGGAAGGAGGCTCCTGGCGAGGCATGGATCCTTTCTTTCTTTCTCTTGCACAGCTTTAGTGGTGCTTTATGCAAAGATGCTGTGCTGAGCATCAGCTGTTTGTAGGAGAAGCAGCCTCACTCAGATGTGTCCCCTCTGCTATTGGAACTAGATGCTGATGCTTTAGAGACTTCAGTGTTCAGCATCACACCACCCATTGTGGATTTAACTCACTGCATTGTAATTAACTTATCATAATAACAATAATTATAATAATTTACTTACTGAAATAACAAGGATGATCTCTATGCTGCTTCTGCATGCTGCTTTTGGGACAGAAATATTTCCTCTTGTTTTCTGTTTAAGGGAAAACTTAAGCACTTTAGCAGTGGGAAAACAGCAGTGAATTTTCACAGGATCAAAGTGTATGTAAAAGGAATTGTTCATGTTTATGACCATATGAAGTGCAATTTTCTATTAATTAATGTTAAACAACTGATTGTTTAAGAACAAACAAAAGAAACCTAAAAGTGGATTAAGCATCTGAAAGTTTAGAAACCAGTTATAGTTGTGCTTGATTTCATTTGTTTCACTTGCAAAGAAATGTAAATGATGTAATAATGTTTTCCTAGTTGAACAGTCCTGAATATGGGAATTGTAATGCATAAGATCTGGAGATACATTTTGATCAAGTTTATTCACTTTAAATGTGTATGAACTGAACATCTTTGTATTACTCTTGATCAGAGAGATGTCCTGTTGCTCTAATGTGGATTTTGGTTTGGGATTAGAGGCCTGGGGCTTTGAATTGCTTGCTGTCTGTAGACCTAGTCATCAGTGGCTAGTGATTGATTCATTAATTAAAATCAATTTAAATGGATTTGTAAGCCTCATGTAACAGATTATCTTATTAGCAGCATGAGAAAGGCACTGTGATCTGCAAGGAATGTGTCGCTTTAGACAAAATATAGCACAATCTTTATGGGAGAATTTAATGAATTCCTGTTGCTGTAAGTGATCTGTGCAAATGAAAGAGCCTTGCTTAAATCCTGCGTTTAACAGACTCTTCTGGTCAAACATGGGGTTTTATGATTTTTTTTGTTGTGAGCCTCCTCCAAAAGACTTGACTTTAATCTTGTTGTGTGCTTGCATGCATGTGCGTGTGTTTGTGTACATATTCATGGTCACAGAGACGCGTTAAGTATTGTTGAGCTTCTGCTATATTCTGATCTTGGAGATTGTTAATTTTTTCTGTAACATCTGCTTTACCCCATCTAAAAATATCTGCAACAAGGAAAATGATTTTATAAATTACCGGGAACAAAATGAAAGAAAGAACGTCTAATGCTGTTTAATCCACGCTCCGCCTGCTCAGCAGTACTGTCTGGAGGAGAGGCTTTGGACAGCTGGAGGGGGCCACGCGGGCAGAGGGGAGTTCTGGCAGAAGTGAAAGTGTTGAAGAGATGGCAATAAAAGCTTTCCTGGCTGGGAGAGGGGAGGCTCGCCTGTCATCTTTACATTCATTTTGTGACCTCTTTTTACATCAGAACGTAAAGGCAGTCATTCCAGGCATCTATGTGTGTTATTAAGCTCTGTGATCAGGCCTCAAGAACATTTAAGCCAAGGTGTCAACAAAATCAATGGGAATTTTGAATTTAGTTTCCAGCAGAACAGGGTTGTTACCTCCAAATCGTAGCCTTGCCCACAACATTTCAGTAACCTCAGTAATACGTGTACTCTCTATTCTGGTTTGTAACCCATGTTTCCACAGGAAATGAGATTTTAAATTCTGTATGCTATGTTGTAGTGTCACTTTACACATTTCTTCCCTAGTTTGTGCTCTCTGTGCATTTATGATTAGGGAGCAAAGTGAATTATAAGATCCTTTTTGCATGACAGTGAAGCTAGAAAAAGAAAAATCTATGAAAACAGGCAGTAGTAAATGGTTGATATCAACTAGAAAATTTTAGCAATCTTAAAATAACCCCACAAACCAAAACCACTACTAGCTCTGAATTGCCTCAGATATTATCCATTCAATGTGTAGGCAATTCTTCACAGCAGAGCATTGTTGATGAGTTTTGTTTGTCAGATAATCTTAAAGTTATTGGCAATATAGGTTACAAATCTTTAACCAAAAGTGTTTGAAAATGGATCGAATTGGTAAACCCAATTGTAATGGGGTTTTGGTGAAATCAAATGCATTGCCTGAGACATGTGGAATTCGCTATGGTAAAAAGCTTTCTCATTGCTTGTAGAACATTGAACAAGATGTCTGGAAAATGAGAAGCTTTAAAGTGAGTGTAATACCTTACTCATTTCATTCGCAAGAAAGCTTGGTGGTGACCTCCAGTTTACTCCACAGTTATCTCTTGATAGTCTTTGTGTGTTGTCTTTGGAGGATGGGTGATTCACCTCACCATGCATGTGGGTAGGCTGCCAGCCTGCTGCCTACTAATGGCTCCAAGAAATTTGAAGAACAACTCACAAGTGCACAAGGACAGTGTAAACTATCAAAACAACAGCTTTTGTGGCTCCTCAATGCACACGTACACCATTCAAGAAGCCGATGCTACTTACAGAATCAGTCCCTTCTCTGAGTCTGCACCTGGTGCAGATGTGTTAGCGTGGAGGTTTGTGGCTCTGTCCTGCTAGGTCACTTGAGTCTGGGAACTTGGAAGCTAGCATTACAATCTTGGGCGTGACAAGTTATTTCATTCTGGACACAGCCTGTGAATCCAAGGAGAAAGTGCCCTGACTTACATTAGCTTTTATTAGCATGCCTATTTGAAATCAGAGTAGTCATGCAATAATTACTTAGTGAACCCTTTGGTTTGGAAAGGAGCAAGGAGACTCCTATACATAGAAGAAATGTGCTCAGTGGTAGCATTTTCTTAGAAATGAGAGGAGAATAAAGCAGATGTGGTAGTTTTGGCTGGAATAGAGTTAATTGCTTCATAGTATCTGGCATGTGCTACGTTTTGGATTTGCCAGCTGGGGTTAAACCACGACAGCAGGACATAAGCAGGATGTAGCTCCCTCAAAGTGGCAAACCTGCAGAGAGGTAGAAAACGTAGGCCATGATTACTAGTCCTCACTTCTAGTACTGAATAGTATATGGAAGTGTAGTCCTTTTCTTCAGCTGCTTCATTTTACACATCCAGTTCTTCAGATATACAACCACATTTTCAATTAATTGACCTTCTTCAGTTTATTTCTACCATAGGGTTCTGGCTGAAAGGAAAAGGACATCGGTGAATAGCTTGTAAATAGCATACTGCATAACCCTGCCATTATGATGACTTCAGGGAATATTTTCCATTCCATGTTTGTCTATAATGTGAATTTTAGTCACATTTGTCTTGTATTAAGGCTGCAAAGTTATTTTGTATATATGTCGCAAACCTTGCAAAATGTTTTTTTGTCCTTGCAAATTATAAATAGTTCAGTTGGCTCAACTATCCCTTTTGTAAGCACATGATTTATTTTTTTTATCATAAGACATAGTTATGGGGCAGTGTTGTGCGAAATGCAATTGAGTTGTACAGTAATAAGATTTCCATGGTGTTCTACGAAGGTCAGTGGTATGCAATTAATTGCTGGACTGATGATGGGTGCTGGGTAGGAAGTGTTGCTGCCCAGACACTAAATATAATAATTAAGCTCAGGAGTCAGTATTAAAAGCATGGAAGATACATGACTCTGTCATTAACACAGAATTTGTGCTGATATTTGTTTTAACAATACTATGGTAGATGTAGGCTCATGCCTTAAAGGTATGCTTGCAATTTATAGTTTGCATCTTCAAAGAAAGTGTCTGTTCTCAAGCTTGGGGTACGAGGTCCAAATTAAGAGGGCTGGGTACTTAATCTGTTGCTAAATTTCTGGTGCTTGGTAAGTCAGTCTTGCCAAAGAAAGTTTCTAGTTCTTGCTATGTTCAGAGGAAAGCTGCGTGCCTTTGAAAGGCTTCCAGAGGGGGATCCTGGCCTTTCACCTTCTGTGGCTAAACTGAGGTGGATGGCATCTCCCTTGTCTGAACAGGGAAAAGTAGGAGTTTACTCAGGTGGGGATAAAGTGTCATTAGGTATGGAAATTTGGGTGTGGATTTGAGCATGTCTTTCAAATGCCTAGGTTATCTCTGCCTGGTTTTCACTCTAACTGCCCTTTCACAGCCTAATGGAAGTATCGCTGGTCAAAGGAGGGAAAGTTTTGCAGAATGAGGAAAAAAACGTATTTGAAAGCTGCCTACTTTAACTGCACCTGCTGCAAACTCTTTGGTTTTTCAGGCTCAGCAAGGTATTTCTGGATCTTACTGAAGAGTCCTCAGAAAAATTGTAAGAAACAGTCAAAATGTTAATGTTTATTTTCTCCCTTTTTACAATACAGTCAAGCTCCCATTGCATTTAATTCTGCTGCTGTGCCGTGAGGCTGACTTAGACAACTGGAAAGTGTTTAAAAAATACCGTGTGGTAGATTCCAGTGCGTGAAACTCTTGTAGCACACTTGTTATGGTGTGATGCAAACACGGCATAATTGCAAGGAGCACAGACTGAATATTCTGCTGGAAGAGGCCAGATTGAACACCAAATGTCATAACTGTGAAGACTGGGGTGAAATCTTGGCTCCAAAAAAGTCAGTCAGAAATGAATGGAGTCTTCTCCACTTACATTTGCATCTTTATTTACAGAATCTTTTACTCACTGGAAAACAGAGAAAGAATTTAAGGAAAATTCAGATTAAAATTTGTCAGCTCATTGTCTGCTCCAATTTTAATCAAATAGATTTACTTGAACTCATAGCCCTCTTTAGACACACTGTGGAAGATGAGAATTGCTCTTGTTTCTCCTCTGATTTTAAATGTGCACATTTTAATGGAGGATCGGTTGGTGTTAATATAAAAAGGACAGTTTGCCTTGGCTTAGTCCATCCTTGTAAAAGCCGTGACTTGGAAATAGGAGAATGGCTCCTCATGGAATCCTGCTGCTGCTGAAGGCACTGAAATGTGTTGTGAATCCCTGTGGCTGAGTGCTGTGGGAAATCATGAATTAATGTTTCAACATAAGGTGCAGAAATGTTCATAGATACTTCAGCGGAACAAAAACTTTTTAAAGCGATGTTTTCAAGGATCTGCCGTTCCCCTTGTGGGCTAAACCTCAGTGTGTAAAATTGCTGTAGATTCAAAACACTCACCAGCCCACGTTTAAAGTCATTGGATTAGAGCTCTTCTAATCTGGTGATTTTAATGTGCCTGGGGATTTTTGTTTTTTTACGGCTTCTGGGAAGAAAGGTGATCATATGATTAAGGCATAAGTCAGGGGGCAGAGATTTGCATTTGGTTTCTGGGGCAGAGTTGAGTGAGGAGGCTGGGAGAAGTATTCATTGCTCAGATTTCTAGTGTAGGGGCAGATGGGAGAAAAAAGAAATCAAAGAAAAATCGATTCAATGCATTGGTTGTGTGAGTTAATATTTGCAAAGTCTTTTTATATACCTATGTGGAAAGTGCTGTCAGTGTAAGTGATTGTCTCCGAGACAGTGATTTCCCTACTTCTTTGCTTTACACAATTTTCCGTAATTGGCTTGGAGTGGTGCGATTGAGTGTAATTAAGTCTCATAATTAATTAATATGTGAAAGCCTACGCAAAAGCAGAATAAGTATTTCACATTTCATGATTTGTTCTCTTCTGTAAAATTAGAGTAATAATACCTTGTTACTTAATGCTGTAAGCAATAATTAGGTAATAGTTATAAAGTGCTTTATTATGAAAATGTATGTAAAGAACCATTTTTAAGTGGGGAAACTAATGCATAGGTCTCAGTCCTTGCAAAAAAGCTGATTCTCCTCTGAAGTAACATGCTAGGTCTCAGTCCTTGCAGAAAAGCTGATTCTCCTCTGAAGTAACATGCTGAAACTGGTGTATCCCAGGACCAGAAGAAATACCGAGTCAGTATTTAAGGCTGCTCGCAGAATGATCACAGCTTTTTGAAATACTCTTGCTCAGGACTTGTCTTTTTTGTTTTCATTTTAATTTAAGTAATAGTTTAAAAATCCTTAATTACAGGTGTAATAACAGTGATTTTTGACTTCCCATTACACTAACAGCCACTAAACAGGCAAAACGATCACACATAATTTAGGACATAACATCTCTGAGTTTGTGATGAACTATTAATAAACTGCTTTCATCACGTGCAGCAATTCCAGATCTGTGAGGATAAAGCAAGTTACAGAGCCCCCTTAATCCCTTTCTGAAAATGACCTGCCAGCAGCTTTTCTTTCTTCTTTTTCATTTGTAAAATTGAGTACAGGTATTGACCTGGGCGTTCACTCCACTGATTAAATACCAAGTGTAAACCAAGGGCTGGCTGCAAATGTCTGTCCAGCAGCCTGTGTGGAGGAAAAATCACATGTGCTGCCTGTTTGGCAGATGCATCCACAGGTGAACAAAATGAGGAATGAGTCAAAAGCAGCTGCCCTGATGACAGCAAAGGTCAATAGGTCTCTCCTGGCTTGTATATTTCTGGGAATAATGCTTGGGCTAGGGATGGGCCATCAAAAATCTCGTTCTGACTGCTCCCTGGAAAGGTACTGAAAGCCATGAATCTTGGCCAGAGTAGTTGGAGCTGAAGCTTTTCAGTGAAACCGCAAATGATATGGCCAATAAGCCAAGAAAAGGCAAGCAGTTCAAAGCCATGCCTAGACCATACTTTCATCTGCTCTTTGGCTTTAATGTACCAGCTCTGCAAAACTGAAGAGGTGCAGGGAACAACCCCAGAGAAGGAGGAATGAACCTTAAGTAATTAGCCTTCCAACTACACAGCAAACAGTATTTGTGCCTGGCAGGAGTCCAGGCCATCAATACTACGGGTGAGGATCTGGTGGATGACGCTTGCTTTAAGCAGTCAGTGACAGCCTTGCCTGAGTGGCTCTTGGAGTTGTTCCCTCACAGATCACTCATGGGACTGGTCAGACAGTGGCGAAGCGGTTCACTTTGTAACTCCCAGCACTCTGGTAGTATCCTGAGTTAAGTGAAGTGGTGATACATTAGCCTACTGCTAACATCAAAAAGGAACCTTCAGAACAGACTTACTCTGGGGAATGTAGGAAGGGTATTTTGGCATATGTCTTCTGTAGATGTAGCAGTACTGGTATTTAACTGGTTTAGATGTAAGTTTTGGAAATGCATAATCTTGTATGATAAAGTTTGGCAGAGAAATGCAGTATTCTCTTTTATTGTTAGCTACATCCTTTTCCTGTGAGAGCTTATGAGAATGTTTTCATACTTAACATGTTTCCTTTCTTCACTACAGTTCATCTGCCAATCTGACCCTCCCAAGGAAAGTAAGCTGGCTGTAATCATCAAATAGATGAGGGGAGTGTCATCAGGAAAAGAACAGGCAAATATAAGGTCTAACCCTTTCTGCAGAACTCGATTTGGCTCTGTAATGCAGAAGGTGAGAGTCAAAGGCCACCTGTGTATCTCCACACCACAGTAACAGACATCAGAAAAATACACTGTCCCTTTTGTAAACTTCTTAAGAGAACTTCAGAGCAAACTGTTGTTTAGAATGAAGCAGTGGCAGCTGCTGCATAGCTAAGTCTGCAGTTGAATTGCCATAGTATATGAGCCTCTTGCTGTGCCCCTCATAAAACTACCCTGAAAGAAAAGTCATATTTATCTCAAAAGTGGCAGGCTTGGCATGATGCCCTGGTAACTTTTTTTAGCCAACCTGAAATGAAACTAGCTCACCCTAACTCTGATAGATTTGAGTTCACTTAACCTCCTTCTGAGGGAGGCTGAAAGCAAGAAGGAGTGGGGAGAGAGGATTACGTACACTTTTTTATGTTTCCCTGGCACATTTCCACTACCCCACATGAAAGATCTTTTTAAAATCACACTGAAGTTTGAAATATATTAAATAATTAAATTAAGATTGTCCATATTCAGTTTTGGCTTTGCTGAGTTTAATGCAGGAATCAAATAACTACTGGAGACGTAAGAAAAACAAATGCTTGGCACTTTTCCCTACAAGGCTGAATGTGAGTCAGTATCGAAGAAGGCTTCTCAATGGAAAATGAGAAAATAATCTTAATAAAAAATTCAAATTATTCAGATGAGCTGCTTGTAAATTACATGCATAAATATAGTAGTTGCCACAATGAGAAACTTCTCTAACACATTTTGGCAGACATTAACTTGAAAATAAAGACTGGGAGATAATTACTGTTATTATTCTTATTACTACTACTACTGTCGTTTTGCTTTGTGCTGCATTAGCATTAAGAGGCTATGAACATCCAAAATCCAGTATTCCAGACTCTGCTCTACTGTAAAGACATGTTCCCAGCTCAGGAAAGCTTAGTTTTTAAATGCACCAGACCAGGCACAAGAGAAGGTCTCAGGCAAGGGAAGCTAGGAGTCTTGCTCAAGCCCCGCAGGAACTTACAGCAAGACCAGGGCTTAATCCTGATCTGCTAAATTCCAGTCCAGCCTTCTAACCAAAAGCTGCATCTCTCATGTAAGCCTTTTGAATTCTCCTTAGGGGGTGTGGCTTTGAATTTCTTCAATATCTAGATAAGGTATTGACATGTTCTTAGGAAGGTTATCCTGCAGTCCGGGTAAATAGATTTTTTAGGTCATGAGGCATTAGGATGCTTCATGATGTTTTTAAATCCCCTACCTCCCTCCTTCTTATTTTAATAACGTCCACTGGTTTAATTTTTATTTCCTTTTCTGAGAGGCTGCACCCCCCTCTCACAACTTGTCACACATCATGCAGTGTGGAGGTGCAGCATCCAGAACCAAAAGAGGAAATGTGCTGATTTTGGCAGTTGACCAAAATGACCTCATTTCTTTGCTATTGGAAGTTTGTGCACTTTTCTGGCAGGCAGCACAGCTGAAAATATGATTGCCTAGTTCCTAGCATGTCTTCATTGAAGAAAATGCTTGCCAGATACTTAAATGCTTTATACAAATCCCTCCTAGTAGCAGAACATACCTGATAGACACAGGCAGCTGGACAGCCTGGTCAGCGGGAGCAAGAATGGGACGATTGGGTTTAGAGAGCAGAGAGAAACAGGACAAGCTTTACAGATGAGGTCTGGAGCTTTTAGGACCCCACAGGTGCATGTGAGAGAGGGGCAGTGACCTCACAGATGGGGGCTCAGGTTCTATTGCTCTGCTCACCAGGCTGTAGAATGTTTCCTGCCTCTTCACAGTGCGTGGTCTGGCATCCTAGCAGTTGGGCTGCTGGTGAGCCATCACCCAACATGAAACTGTGAGAAATCTTCTTTTGTCAGAGCATGGCTGCCTCCCTCTCCCTAAATGAAGCCTAAGATCGTGGAAACTTCTGGTGAGGGATGCAGGTGTGTTGCTAAATAAGATTATTGTAGCTTTATGTTTGTGCTTTGGCTTGCCCAGAGGCTGTGATGGGAACAGAGCCTGGCAGTGCAAAAGGACACAGCAGCCTGATAGACTGATTCAAAGGTGGCCTGCAAGAAAAATCGGAGTTATTCAGAATTTTAATTGAAGAGTCAGGTGAAAATTAAGTCTTTACTATTTAAGTTAAAAAAAATAAAAATATCCTGGAAGTGGTTCATGATTCCAGGAAGAGAAAGTAATAAAAATCTGCATAGAAAAGTAGCTATCTAGATTTGAATGGTGATTATGCGATTGTATCAGAGGTACAGATGTTTGTGTATATTGTAGTCTCCTAGGAATATGTAAGCTTCCCAGAAGAACCTGACTGCAAATCACCAAAATCTCCTTTTACTACTTTCCACTTTTCTTGAAAATGTTTTGGGTGTCTTTTGCATCAGAAGGGGATGATACTGGTGTTTGAAGGTTTGGCCTTGGAGAACCTAAGGGCTGCTGAAATAATGTGGTGAAGGAGTTGAGCAGCAGCAAAGGGCCTATTTGCCTTCACTTGGTTAATTACTTCTGTAACAGTCTTCTTTAGCCCAGCATGACTGATTCTCTTTTTTTGGTTTATTTTGTGAGGATACAACTTTTGGCAACTCGCTAACTATTTTGATTATTTTTGGAGATTGAAAATAAAGTGACAAAAGCAAATCAGCAGACCTGCAGGTATATTGGTGGACCAGTATCTTGTATGGAGCTCTTTATGGGTAGACCTCCAGAATCTAGTTGAAATACGTGAGAACTCCTGCATCACATTGAACAAGTAGTCTATAGTTGTCTATAATTATATCAGGCTCTTTCTAGTGAAGACACTGCAATAAGACATTGTAGCTTTTGGGATGTGAAACAGCTTTGTCATGATATTTGTTCCACTGTAGACACATTTTTGAATTCCAATAACAGCTTCTTAAATATTGGTTAGATTAGACGTTAGCTGTTCGATTATACAATTTTAGATGTAATTGTAAACAGATAAAAACCCCAGCTAGGGACTCAGGCATTTGAAATAACAATTAAAAAAGCCCTGCTCAAAACTGCTTTCAGATTAACTGCTAGTGACTGTGGATTTGTAAACTATATAGAAGCACCATATTTAAATAAGTGATTTCTCATATTGCATGCACCACATGATATAGCTATGTGACATTTTTAAAAGAAAAAAACCCCACCAGATTATCTTTGACTGTATTACCAGATGGTGTGTAATGAGCAACTATATTACAGGTTATGAAACATGACTTTCACTCCTAAGTAACCTGACTGACAAAACCTTTGTGCCTTATAAAAACAAGATACTCAAGGACTGAGTGGATGGCAGAATTGTGCTTTCCTACCAGCAAAAAATTCCCGTTGACCAGGAAACAAGTTCATACGTGTAGTCAGAGACAGAAGCATGCAATCAAATGAAAATATTCCTACCTCGCTCTTATTGCTGTTTGCATTTTTCAAACATTAAAACCAAAACTGTTGTACAGAAGGCACTCTCCCTACTAATGTAGTTACATTTCATTAATTGTTGTAACTTGAACCTTGCTGATGCTGATTGTGTAAGTGTACGCTAGAAATAAACCTGAAAAAACCCTGTGATCTTAAAACGGAAGGCTAAGCTGTAAGTGGTTTGGAAAAGTCTCTGGTTACCTGTGTGTACTGGTGTAATTTTTGCTTTGGCAGAAGCCCTTGCAAGGAAGGCATGAGCCTGAGTCTGCATGCTGAGAACAGGGAAACAGAGTGGAAGGGCTGGGCCCGCTGGTGGTTCCTCCTCCTTCTCTGGGTCCACTCACAAAGTAGCCAGGTGCTCATTTGGAGTCAGGAGACTGCCAGTTTGAAATAGCAGTGTGCTGGATTTCAGTGTCTGACGCAGCCAGTCCCTGGCAGCAACAGGAAAGGCAGGCTTGGGCCTTTGTTTTCTGACAGCCAAGGAACAGGCATATTTTGGAAATGTGTGGAAATTTAAATTCTGAAAAGACACATTTGGTCACAAGAGAAGAGCTGCCTGCTCGGAACACCGGCAGCACTGCGCCTTTAAACCGATGCATTCACATTAAAGGGAGACATGTAAATAATGCAAAGGGGTAAACTAGCCTGAGTTATGTGTGGTTTTAGCTGAGTGACTCTTTCTGCCTTTTATGGAAATCTCTCATCTAAAGTCCTTCACAATTATCCCCAAGGGCAAGTATTAACCCCATAAAAGAAAGAATATCTACAGTTACACATCAGACATTACGTATCTGTGTGATGGCTGTGGTTGACTTTGGCCAAAGATGGTGCTTTATTAGAGCTGACGGTGGTAGCTGTATAACGGGAAGCTGGGCTGGCTTCCTTTACTTATGAAAGAGGAAAAGTCTTCAGGCAGAGTGATGAACCCATATTGCTAAGTAAGCATTTTGCAATTATGAGGTGCTGTTCATAAAGAAAGAAAGAAAAAAAAAAAAGGACCTATTGTGGCCTCAGTTTGGAAGGCCGTGAGCCTGGCTGTGCTCTAGTGAGATGAAGGGCGCTCAGCAAGGCTCTATGCATTCCACTGTGGAGTTGGGGCAAAGGATGTCCTCAGTTCAGTGAAAGCAAAGTTGCAGTCCCAGGGCTCTGTCAACGGCCATCACTACTGTGAGGATAACATCACCACCAACCTCCACATCCCTCTGGCTGGGGGGGGAAGCGGGGCAGAAGTGGGAGCTCTGATGCTCCCATTGTGTCTGGCAGGGTTTGGTTTGTGCATTGGCAGGGCTTTTAGACCTTACAGAAGGCGATGGTTAATACAGCAGGCTTGTGAGTAAGTTGTTTATTGATTGAAGTACTGTGTAGAGCTATGAGTTAGCACTGCATTATCTGATGTGTGGCTGCTGTTCTGCTGCGGGCTGGCTGCCCATAGCTGGACCTGCCAAACCTTCCTTGGATTTATTAATCAGGTGATGTCACGAGTCCAGGCCAGTATGTCTGCACTGGTCTTGGTGCCTGTCAAAACCGATCTCTGGAAAAAAACCAAAACCATGTGCAATGGGAATAGTGAGCCACATTCTGCTTAAGGTGCACGTCCGCGTCTTTGGTCACGCCGCTGTACCTCGAGGAGAAATGCTGGCCTCTGCAAATGGAGTTCAGAGCTTGGTTGGGAGCCACTGAGGCTGTGTCTGCATGTGTAATACCACATAACAGCTACTGACATCAGATAGTAGCAGTGCGCTTACCTGAGGTAGGAAGTGAAGAAGAATATTGTCTGTGGTTGAAGATACAAAGTGAAACTTAAGGAGGGACGAAGCTGGAAGGAAGCCCTGGCTGACAGCTAGCCAGAACATCGCAGCCCTTGCATCTGGGGAGGGATCTGAACAATGGCTTGACCAAAACAGAGGGTAAAATTCTTTGTACAGGGATCACTGAGGCTTCGGACAGCTGGGAGCTGCTGGTGTTTGGGTATCAGTGGTACTGCTTAGCTTCCAGAGGACTCCTCTGAAATCAGTGTTTTGATTTTCTCTCTGGCGTTTCCCAGCTTGGGGATTGGAGGCTAGAAGGGTAGAGTAGCAGTAACACAGACTGCAGATCATTTCAAACCCTTGTAGTTTATGTTAACTCACTCTCCGTTCTCATCAACTAAGAAGTTGCTGTCTATGATAGATTGAGCTCAGTATCTCTCCTCTATCCTTTTTTTTCCTACTTTTGCTACAACTTCGAGTTTTTTTCAGGAGGTATGTAATTAGAAAAGAAATTCTTTGAACTTATAAAATGCAGGTTGCTTAAATTATGCAGTTAAAGGATAAAGAAAATCACAGAGCAATTTTAACAAATTGCCCTTAACTGGATTGCACAAACAAACCTCTCATAAGAAATCTTAGAAAGGTGTGTTTGAGGGTGTAATCTTAGCTTGTGGCTAAGTAGAGTTAAACTTGTTTTTCAAGTTGGTTGTGTATAACTTTCTCATGCTAAAGATTGTGAGCATTCCAGAAAGAAAACAGTTCATCTGTAGCAGGGGTTTGATGGGAAATTTTCTTTCCAGTAATTCTGGCCCCTGGTCCATGTACAGTACTTTATACAGTGACTTTCCTTTTAATCCGTATTCTCACTGGCTGTGTTGTAAAATATACATGTGCATATATTTATATGAAATAGTCTTGAAGTTTGCAAGTAGTACAGTTTTTGAATGATCCTGTATGTGCCAGGCCAGACACAGTGCCCTCACACTTCCAAATATACGTGCCTTTCTTGTCAGATGCAAAAGAACTTGTAAATTTTGCATGTATGGAATCGCGTCATACCATCATACCCCAAATTCCCTGTTTGGTAAACATCAATACCCAACTCTTGGGTTCCAAAAACCTATGCAGTTTCTGAATAGTTCTTTAGGATGGCAAATGGGTTTACTCCAACATTCTTTTTTTTTTTTTCCCCAGCATATACCGTTTCTGTTGGTATTTATACAGTGGAGGCAAACTAATGTGGGTAGAATTACTATGTATGCATGTAAGAAAGCATGCTACCTGCAAAAGCTTTCCATACAACAGCTGAACTTATACATAAGAGAACTGTTGATGCTTTATTACAGTTTAATTTGTTAATGAAAGAAGATGGACTGAGCTCCTACTACACCTCTTTGGATGTTTGAGGCTAGGCACAATTAATTTATTTGTACTGTCTGTGTAGGCATATGCCAGCTAATGTACTG